TCCTGTCTAGGTCTTCTGTCATTTAGGGGAGGGTTGTAAATGACTGTCACTATTATCTTAGGTCCACCCATTGTTATAGTTCCTGTTATGTAATCTCTGAATCCGTCACAGCCCGGAATTTCCATCTCATCAAAACTCCAGTCCTTCCTTATCAGCAGGGCCACTCCTCCACCTCCTCTCCCTTCCCTCTCTTTCCTTACTATATAGTAGTCCTTTGGAAACACAGCATCTGTTATGACTCCTGACAATTTTGTTTCTGTTAGTCCTATTACATCAGAGTTTTCTTCTTGCACCCTTTCTGCCAGTTCACTTGCTTTATTGGTAATCCCATCAATGTTTGAGTACATTACCTTGAAGCTCACTTTCTTATATCCAATTTCACCCACACTCCCTACAAGTGTAGGAGGTTGTTCTATGGTCCTTGCTACTTGGGTAGGCTCCTCCTCCTGTGAGGTAGTTGCCAGGGGTTCAGGGGGAGGTGGGGTGTGTGTGAGAGTGTGTGTGTGTGAGAGTGTATGTGTGTGAGTGTGTGTGTACTCACCTATATGTACTCACCTATATGTGCTTGCAGGATCGAGCATTGACTCTTGGATCCCGCCTTTCGAGCATCGGTTGTTTACAGCAATGACTCCTGTCCCATTTCCCTATCATACCTGGTTTTAAAATTATGAATAGTATTTGCTTCCACAACCTGTTCCTGAAGTGCATTCCATTTCCCCACTACTCTCACGCTAAAAGAAAACTTCCTTACATCTCTGTGACTCATCTGAGTTTCAAGCTTCCATCCATGTCCTCTCGTTCTGTTACTATTCCGTGTGAACATTTCGTCTATGTCCACTCTGTCAATTCCTCTGAGTATCTTATACGTTCCTATCATGTCCCCCCTCTCCCTTCTTCTTTCTAGTGTCGTAAGGCACAGTTCCCTCAGGCGCTCTTCATACCCCATCCCTCGTAGCTCTGGGACGAGTCTCGTTGCAAACCTCTGAACCTTTTCCAGTTTCATTATATGCTTCTTCAGATGGGGACTCCATGATGAGGCGGCATACTCTAAGACTGGCCTTACGTAGGCAGTGTAAAGCGCCCTAAATGCCTCCTTACTTAGGTTTCTGAATGATGTTCTAACTTTTGCCAGTGTAGAGTACGCTGCTGTCGTTATCCTATTAATATGTGCCTCAGGAGATAGATTAGGTGTTACGTCCACCCCCAGGTCTCTTTCACGCGTCGTTACAGGTAGGCTGTTCCCCTTCATTGTGTACTGTCCCTTTGGTCTCCTATCTCCTAGTCCCATTTCCATAACTTTACATTTGCTCGTGTTGAATTCTAGTAGCCATTTCTCTGACCATCTCTGCAATCTGTTCAGGTCCTCTTGGAGGATCCTGCAATCCTCATCTGTCACAACTCTTCTCATCAACTTTGCATCATCCGCAAACATCGACATGTAGGACTCTACGCCTGTAAACATGTCGTTAACATACACAAGAAATAGAATTGGTCCCAGCACCGATCCTTGTGGTACTCCACTTGTTACTGTTCGCCAGTCCGACTTCTCGCCCCTTACCGTAACTCTTTGGCTCCTTCCTGTTAGGTAGTTCCTTATCCATTCTAGGACCTTTCCCCCCACCCCCGCCTGCCTCTCGAGCTTGAACAGCAGTCTCATGTGCGGTACTGTATCAAAGGCTTTTTGGCAGTCCAGAAATATGCAGTCTGCCCAACCATCTCTGTCCTGTCTTATCCTCGTTATTTTATCATAGAATTCCAGAAGGTTTGTTAGGCACGATTTCCCTGTCCAGAACCCATGTTGATGTTTGTTCACAAACCTAATGTTCTCCAGGTGTGCAACCAGTCGTAGCCTAATTATTCTTTCCAGTATTTTACAGGGGATGCTTGTCAGTGATACAGGTCTGTAGTTAAGTGCCTCCTCCCTATCTCCTTTCTTGAAGATCGGCACGACATTTGCCTTCTTCCAGCAACTGGGCAATTCTCCTGACATAAGTGACTCATTAAAGATCATTGCCAGAGGCACGCTGAGGGCCTGTGCTGCTTCTTTTAGTATCCACGGTGATACTTTGTCTGGTCCAACTGCTTTAGTTGCATCTAGAGTTGTCAACTGTTTCATTACCTCCTCTGCTGTCACCTCTATATCTGATAGTCTTTCATCTAGGGTAACCCCTTCCAACAATGGGAGCTGCTCAGGCTCGGTAGTGAACACTCCATGGAAACTGGCATTCAGTGCCTCGCAGATTTCCTTGTCACTTTCAGTATATGCCCCCTCTGTCTTCCTTAGTCTTGTGTGTGTGTGTGTGTGTGTGTGTTTGAGAGTGTGTGTGTGTGTGAGAGTGTGTGTTTGAGAGTGTGTGTGTGTGTGATATAGAGAGTACGACGCTGTACCCACGGTGTCGTGAGGGCCGTTTCCCTACCGAACAGATTATTTGATATGGGAGGCTTAATAAGCGGAAGTATCTGTCGTGGAAGTTCCCTGAGAAATATCCTCCTAAATGATTTCTGTATGTTGTGTTGTTTGTGCATGGGTGCGTGGTTGTAGGGTGTGGTTGCTTTTGTGTGTCTGAGTGGGGCAGGTTTTGTTTTCCGGTTTTTTTGTTTGTTAATTTGCATGAGTGAGGTTTGCGTGTGTGTCTGTGTGTCCGTGTCTTCCTGTATATGTTCTGTGTGGTTCGGTGTGGTTTTATACTTCCGGCTCTGTGTGTCTTATGCGTGACTGGTTGTACTGTGTGCTGCTGTATTGGTGTGTTTGGTGTGGCGATAGTTTATTGTATGTACTTGTGTCCTTACGGCCTTCTGGTCGTTTGCATGTTTTTTTTTTTTTTTACTTTTTGTTTGTTTTTATACTTACGGTTCCCTGTGTGGTTTTGTTTTCTATTATTGATGCTCTGTGTTTCTTCTACTGATTATGTGTCCTGTTCTGATTTTTGTTCTGTATTATGTGCCCGTGTAGGGGTTTGTTGTATGCTATGTATCATGTGTATTTCACTTTTGGTTCTTCTTGTATTTAAATTCTTTTCATGTTTTATTACTGTATTCTGCGTATCCTGTATGTACTCTTGTTTTTATATTTGTGTGGTTGTCTGTTTGTACATTGTGGTTGAGTCATGGTGTGTTGCTACTTGGTGAGTCATGGTGTATTGCTACTTGGTGAGTCATGGTGTGTTGGTACTTGGTGAGTCATGGTGTGTTGCTACTTGGTGAGTCATGGTGTGTTGCTACTTGGTGAGTCATGGTGTGTTGCTACTTGGTGAGTCATGGTGTGTTGTTACTTGGTGAGTCATGGTGTGTTGTTACTTGGTGAGTCATGGTGTGTTGCTACTTGGTGAGTCATGGTGTGTTGTTACTTGGTGAGTCATGGTGTGTTGCTACTTGGTGAGTCATGGTGTGTTGCTACTTGGTGAGTCATGGTGTGTTGTTACTTGGTGAGTCATGGTGTGTTGCTACTTGGTGAGTCATGGTGTGTTGCTACTTGGTGAGTCATGGTGTGTTGCTACTTGGTGAGTCATGGTGTGTTGTTACTTGGTGAGTCATGGTGTGTTGTTACTTGGTGAGTCATGGTGTGTTGTTACTTGGTGAGTCATGGTGTGTTGCTACTTGGTGAGTCATGGTGTGTTGTTACTTGGTGAGTCATGGTGTGTTGTTACTTGGTGAGTCATGGTGTGTTGTTACTTGGTGAGTCATGGTGTGTTGCTACTTGGTGAGTCATGGTGTGTTGTTACTTGGTGAGTCATGGTGTGTTGTTACTTAATGAGTCATGGTGTGTTGTTACTTGGTGAGTCATGGTGTGTTGTTACTTGGTGAGTCATGGTGTGTTGTTACTTGGTGAGTCATGGTGTGTTGTTACTTGGTGAGTCATGGTGTGTTGCTACTTGGTGAGTCATGGAGTGTTGTTACTTGGTGAGCACCTTGGTGTGTCACGGTAGATTATGAACTGATGTATCAAAATGGGTTTCGACCTGTTGTGTCAATGTGGCTTGTTACTTGCTATATCAAAATATTTATTTTGACATATAATACTATGTCAAAATAAATTGCTATGCCAAAAAGTTCTGTTACAAAATTAATTTGGAATGTGTATCAGTGTTAGTTTGTTAGTGTTGTGTGTCAAGGATTGATGTTGCATGAAGAATTATCTATTGATGTGTAAATAATTTGAGATGCTTCATAACTATAAAATGAAGGTTTTCTACCATAAATGTGGTTGGTAATTATCCTCAGCAGGGCTCAGATATCTTATCAAGTGTCCCTCAGGCCTTCATGTACAGCCGGTGAAGACCAGTTCACCTAAAGGTTGTTTACGCATTTACAAAATACGTTTCTTCTTTACATTTTTAGTGACCAAATTTTTGTTATCCTTGTGTCCGTGAATACTTAATAATAAAGATATTCGCGAATACTGTTATTTGTATCCATATTTTTAGAAAAATTCTTCAGAGAAATGTTCTTAGATCAGGGACTGGGGCATCTGTTATTGTCTGCAGACAAGAGTTATGAAACTACTCACGTACTGCAATCCAAAGATTGTTCTATTGGTAATCATTTTTTTAGATATGTTAATATTATGTAATACGTTGAGTATACAGGTAAGTAATGTGTTGTATTCTTCATCGGCAGTGAGTGTGGAGGAGATAGTAGAGGAGGTGCGGGCGGCGGTGGTGTGGGCGTGCCGGCTAGCCAGGGAGCGGGGCAGCCGCAGTGTTGTGGTGGCCGGATGGTCTGCTGGAGCCCAGCTCATCACACAGGTGAAATTGTGGCAGAGTGTGCGCGTTTGTTTACTTGAGTAACTGTGAGTGTGCGTGTACTCACCTAGTTGCGCTTGGGGAGGGGGGGGGGTTGAGCTTCAGCTTCTTGGTCCCGCCTCTGGATCAAGGACCCAAAATACACACACACACATACTAATTTGCATCCTAGTAATTGTGAACGTGCGTTTGTGTGTGTTTTGTAATTATAAGTGTGCGTGTACTCGCCTAGTTGTGATTGGGGTGGTTGAGCTTCGGCTCTTTGGTCCTGCCTCTTAACTATCAATCAACTGGTGTACAGATTCCTGAGCCTATTGGGCTTTATCATATCTACATTTGAAACTGTACATGGAGTCAGCCTCCACGACATCACTGCCTAATGCATTCCATGTGTTAACTATTCTGATACTGGAAAAAGTTCTTTAGTCCCTGTGGCTCATTTGGGTACTCAGATTCCACCTGTGTTCACTTCTTCATGTTCCACCCTCGCTAAATAATTTATCTTTTATCTACCCTGTGTGTGTTTGTATTTACTATTAGTGCCAACAGGGTCAGGCTGTAAGCTCTTGGACCCCGCCATTTTTCCCTTCGATTGTCTAATGTTCTGACTCCCACCTATTTTTCCGGCATTTCTGTCTGCATATTTCTCACACTTTTATCATATATACATTTTAAATTCTGAATCAATAAACATCAAAGACTTCTATATATATTCTATTCTATTTATTGACAGTTCTAACACTGAAAAAGGTTTTCCTGATGCCTCTATGGCTGATTTGCGTTTCTAGTTTCCATCTATTGCCTCCCTTGTTCTGCTGTTTTAGATGTATACAATGCCACTTTCTCTAGTTCGTCAATTTCCCGTAGAATCAGTTGCATATTGTCCTGGGGACCATTCAGGCTTGTTCGCAATCTTATATGTTGTGATCATGTCTCCCCTATCTTTCCTCTCCTCCAGCTTGGTAAAGGTCACTGCTCTCAGTTTTTCCACTTACCTCAATCCCCTCACCTTCGGAACAAGTCTCGTTCCAAATTTTTGGACCTTTTCTAGTTTCTCCTTGTCCTTTTTTTTAGGCAAGTGTTTAATGCTGGGGATGCATATTTAAGAATGGGTCTAACCTTCTCTATATATAAAACACAGAAACACCATTTGTCCAAGTTTCTGAAGGTTTCACGAATGTTGGTGAGTATGCCATATGCGGCTGTTAACACTCTGCATATGTGGGCTTTTGGCATCAGATTTGGGGTTATGTCCACTCCCAAGTCTTCTCCTATCCTAATTGAAGAATTTGTCTTCCAGTTATCCTATGCTGCAGTACGGGTTTTCACACTCCTGTTCCAATCCTCATAACTTTACCTTTAGTTGGGTTAAATTCTAGCAGCCATTTTTCAAACCACTTCTGGAATGTCCAAATCCGTTTGCAATGCATCACAATGAATCACAAGCTATCCCTGACCTGACTTTTCCGTTAGTTTTGCATCATCCACAAATATTGATATGAAAGAGCCAATTTCATCTGTATGGTCATTGACATGTTAGAAACGTGATGGGCTTAGAACCGACACATGTGAATCTCCACTTGTAACCTCTTTCCTCTCACCATATTCTTTTGCTGCCATCCTCAGAGATATGTTCAGACCCACCTTAGGACTCTTCCAGGTATGCCAGCCTGCTTTTCTCAGCCCGTCCTCCAAACAAAGACCCAAAAGGGATTCCATGAACTCACCAAACCCCCTGTTTATGAATGAAAAACGGTTTACATAAGACTCAACTGATTTCGTTTGAACGCTTCCGGAACAAGTGCTTCACTGACGAATTTTGTTCGAACCACAACGCTGTAAATGCTTCATCCACGTACTACAAATACAAATAATCGTCAACAGAACCTAAGCACCTAACCTATGCCCATATATAAACAATATGCTATTATACTATCGATTTATATTTGAGAAAATTCCCGCTTTGAATGAACAGCATGTAAAAATTTATAAATGCGCCTGTGAGGTCGATCACTGGAGGTAATGGACTAGAGTCGAGGACGGGTTGGCTTTTCTAGTTTGAGGAAGAGTGTTTCATGCAGGACCATATAAAATGCCTTTAAGTCAGCTCATCCCTGTCTCTCTTGTTTTATTTCTCTCATCTTGTTGTAGAACTTCATCAAGTAAGATTTTCTCTTTACTAAAACCATGCTGGTGCCTAGAGACAAAATTATGTTCTACCAGCCGGCATCGGATCAGTTTCTCTTGCAACTTGCAGGGAATACTTCTTAATGATATGGAACTGTAGCTTAAGGGTTTCCATCTTCCCACATTCCTGTAGATTGGTACCACATGACCAATAGGGTGTGACGTGTTTCGGTAGCACAGCTAATACCTGGCAGCTGGAAGTTGCTCCTATGCACATTAAAAAAAGAAAAAGTCAAACAAAGTAAATGAACGCTGCTTTGCCTTTGCGGCGTGAAAGGTGCAGGGTTAAACAACAAACAAGAAAAATTAAACACTTTACTATAACTTCAATCATAACAACCAATTAATTCCCGAAATAATACTTGGCAAAAACCACTAGAAATTAATTGAATAAATATATTGATTGAAAAACAATAATGGTGACTAAACTATCATTTACAATAGTCCACACGACCACCGTCACGTGTCGTAGTAGGACAACAGCAAGTAACGGAGGTGAAGTGTAGAACCCAAGAACACCACGAGTAATCTGTTTCCTTATGCCACCAGCAAGGCTATATATAACTGCCACTTTTTTTTTTTACATATATTTATATGCAAAGCATGCTAATAAATACAATAAAAAAAGACATAAATCCAAAATGAAACAAAGGAACGCGCAAAAACACCGGCCAGAAGGGCCAATATCAAGACACAAACACATATCACAAGCACACCGTAGTACAAACACAATACACTATCCACAGCAACATTACATAACGGCAAATGACAATATGAAAGGAAATACATAAAAGAAACACAGTAAACAAGCATAAAATCACAAACATTAACAGGCAGGAACAGCCAAGCCGCTCAAAGGGCACTCAATAATACATAAACAAGCGCACAAACTGTACATTATGTCACGTATTTTTCCGGAAAACCAGTCCCTCGGAAATCGGACAGTGTACACTTTCCAGCATACCCACGCAACAAGCACGTCCTCCTCATAAGGAGAAACCATAGAGTCCGGAACCTCCGACACAAAGGCACGTAAGCTCGTGATTCAAATGGCATGAGAGTGGGGGGGGGGGGGAGGCGGGCGCGAGCAGAACATCCCGTGAGATCCCAAACCCGCTGCATCCGAGCAACCGCACCCCATTTCCGCAGCAGCATCACCGAAGCCCTCAATTACGCCGAAGAGAATCACAGTGGGGGACGCCAAGGGGAAGAGGCTGCCAAGGGGTGTGGGAAGGTCGCGCCAAAGGGGAGGTCACAGGGGGGGAGGGCGCCACGGGAGACACCAGTACAGGGGGCAAGACCACAGGAGCCTCCTGCCAAACCATCCACACGCTCTGGCACCGGCTGGGACACCCCCACGTCGTGTATCCTTCTTCAGCACCAGCACTAGGCCACGGCCTGCACCAGCACCGTCACCATCCATGTCAGGAGGAGCGACCACCCCCCACTGCAGAGAACCATCTGCAGAAGAAATAACATGAGGTAAATCTAAGGCACAATCACCGGCAGCAGCGGGCACATGGACCTCAGCTACTACCGACGTTGTAAAGCGCGACGCACCCATAACCACCCCGTCGTCGCCCAAAGATCCACAGGCGTCGAATTCCCCCACATCAGCCCAGGGAGAAGAAGAACACTGTGAACGCTTGGGCTCCAGCCGCACATCATCAGAGCTGGAGGCGGAGCCAGAAACACGGGCATCACAAGCTGGACGCACCGACACACGCCGCATGATGGGAGCAGCCTCAACCACAGAGGGAACCAGGCAGAACACAGCAGGAGGCCCCACATCCACCCCATCTACCAGCACGGTTGAGACACAAGGCGAGCATGCAGGGACAGGCGCAGCAGCAGGAGAAGGCAAAGAGGAAGACGTCGGCGATGTGCAGAGACCACCCAGAAGCTCCACGGGAGCACCAAGGACACCAACAAGAGCAAGATGACCATCCGATGGCAACACAACTTCCAGAGGAGGGGGCGACAACAACAGGAGGCATGCTGGGCAACACAGGGGGAGCCCCAGCAGCCAACGGAATGGCCACATCCTCACCAACCGAATCCTCCCTCCACAGGGAGCAGCGGGAAATCCTCCTCACGGAAGAGGTTCAGTGAAAAGACTGCAGCTGCAGAGCACCCAGCAGGCCACACCAGAAACACGTTCGTGGTTGTCGGGCATAGTACAACCGAACGTAGTACCCCAGGAGCCTTATGGAGGACGGAATGTCCGACCTCAGGCACATTCCCCAGGGTGCGAATGTTCGTCCACACACCCTTGAACTTTCCCGAGGAAAGCATGTGCAACCGCACACTGATAACAGTGAAAAATTTCCCGAAGCAATGCCGCAGCAGGTCCTCCGGGAACTCTAAGGGCGCCCCATGAACACTAACATAGGTGAGGGCACCACTATGATCCGAAATCGTCACAGTGCCGTCATCGTCCGTCAGGGGTAAGGTCCGCCCCTTGTAGCATCGTAGAAATTCCCGGTATGTCTTCACCCCCATAAACTTGATAATCACCTGGTGCGCAGACACCAATTAAATTCCGTAAATATCCGCCATAGGGACACGAAGCATGTCACAACACAAGCTCCACATCAGGATATCCAGCACGTCCAGAGAACTCCAGGCCCACAGAGTGAACCCGCAAAACAGAGGGAAGATGTCCCCCATCATGGAGGCCACGTCAACACCGACGAGCTCCTAACCCTCACGCGAGCGAAGCACCAACTGCAGCGCGAGTAGACACATCCTCACCCCCTGGCGGTCAAGCCGGCAATCATATAACCGTCACTGGTGACATCACGTCTTTTGGCAAC